ATGGAGCTGCCAGTAAGTGCAAAAAGAATTGCGAAAGAATATTAATTGGCGTACTCACAAATTCTGAGTCACAATGTTTCTTTCGCATAATATTTACCTCAGACACAGAATTTTCTAATTTCATGATACATATTTGCTACAAGCCTGATTGAATTGGCAGATATGATTTCGCAAATTCCGCAAAACTATATATATAATAATGATCCTGATAATGATCTTGATTTATTTAATATGGATTGCCACAATTTCTGTCCCCTATGATGGAGAGGACGGGTTTAACATACCCAGGTATGGGTCAATTTGCGAAAAAAATTCCTATAATTTTCTAGAAAAAAAGTTTTGCAAAGGTTAAAAAATTTTACAAGGCTTTGCAATTGCAAGTTATATTGTTATTTCTTCAAGATTCGAAATATGCGAAGGGTCGTACCTTACGACCCTTCACGAGTTGCGACTCGTAACTCGTGAGTACGCCCAATGAACTACAATTTTAATCTGAATGTTTTAAACTCGCAGTTTTTACTCGGTGCAAATTATTTTAGAATCTGTCACATGCGTTTTTGTGATTGTCGTCCCATCAACAGTGGGCTACCTCCACGCCATCTTCCCGTTCATGATAACCCATTTTGTATCCTGTTACTTAGAAATTTTGGGCCGTTTAAAGCACACCGTGACAGCCTCGATTGACCTAAAAGCGCAGATTTATACTCAACTGAGGAACCACGTGGCAACCTGCATGCATATTTTCGGGGGTTGCATCGTCCTCGATATGACGCACAGTATTGTGCGAATAATACTGTGTTCCTACTTCTTGGTGGGATTTAGTAATCGTAATTCTCCAGTCGTGCGCGGGGCCATTAATGATGCGGTGACCGTCTTGGCATATTCTTTCCTAATTTGGATGCTTTGCAAGACGGGGTCCCAACTGGAGAATGAGAGTGAAGAAGTAATCGAAAAATTGGATGGGGATAATGACAACTTGCAAATTTTGGATGGGAGAAATATCGAGCTTTGGAATGTAACTGGTCGGAAGTTAAAGCAGATTTTTCTGAAGACCGATTACTTCAAGGTTAATCTGGGTCTGATTGCTCCGGTAATTAATTTGTGGAATTATGTATTATGTAAAGTGCGAATTTTAGCCTGGATTACGTTTTGTTTACAGATTGTGGGAACAGTAACGACCAATTTAATTGTGATGATTCAATTTAAGAAATAAATTTAAGCAAGATTTATACCTAGGTATATGTGATGGAGTTACGATAAAATTTGGGTTGGATCAGCATTATGATAATATGTCACCTACTAAGTACGAAAATTTGGCAAAGTTTTCGAATCTACTGGGTCCGGCAAGATTATAAAATATTGTTTGACAGATCAGTATTCATTACCCCTTTAACAAAACCGCGAAATTTAAATAGTCCCATGCTCCCAACCCTGTCTGAAACAAGTAAATATTTTTTGAAATTTTGAAATTCTCAAAATGGGTCCAAAAATTGATCTCAAAGTGTACCATAGTGTGCAAGCAGTTTGCTAGGCTGGAATCACTCATAAAAAGATAAGAAATCAACTTAAGGGGGAAAGGAATATAATTTCTCAAAGTGCTGTGTCCAAAATAAAGAATTAAAGAATTTTAATTTAATAAAGATTTAAAAACGAATCAGGTCAGACATTTGGCCATGCCACAGCCGCCTAACGTGTACCCCCGAAAAGTTAGAAAACCGACGCTACTCAGAAAAATCAATACTGAAACAAAAATAGAAAATCCTCCCATCCAAAATCGACTGGCAAATAAGTATCACACTTCTCGGCGTTGAATAGGCTGAATTATCCATCAAGATCTGGACAAGAAGACCTTTAGAAAGACCAGGGTTCACGTCCTGACGCCACCTCACAAGGAAACACGGAAGTCCACATCTCGGAAGCTATACCGGAATCACCTGACCGGCGTGCATCACCTGACCGGCGTGCACCTGAATTGTCGTCACATTGGACGAAACATTATTCTTCGTCTAGGATTGCAAACAGAACGAGAAATTTGCTATCTTAAGTCCCGAAATAAGATGGAGAATTATGTGTGTGAAAAATTGAGAAGTTTTCTGACAAGGTGATGATAGTCGGCGCAATGAGTGGTCATGGAACACTCCCTTTGATTCGAGTTCGAGTTCCACATAATGTAAAAATAAATGCGACTTATTATATTGACGAAGTTTTGAAACCACTTCTGGAAGAAGAAATTCCAGAACGATACCACGGCGAGAGCCACAAAGTATTCGTTCATCATGACGCAGCGTCCTCTCATACCGCTCGGATCACCACCCCATACGCAGCCGAATAAAAATAAAAATTTGGAATCACAATTATTCCTAATAAAGACATACCTGTCAAGTCCCCTGATGCATCTCCAATGGATTCTTTTAGCTTTGTAACATTAAAACATGCACTTGTCTGGAGACGAGTCACCACTTTTGATGGACTTTGCAAAGTTTTAGATGAAGAATGGCGCAAAGTGACCCCTGAAATGTGGCGTAAAGTTTCCGATTTTTCGAAACGACGGCTTCGTTCCTTATCAGAAAAGGATGGGGAACACGTGGTAAACACTAAAATAATTCACCGGCGAGTTCTTCAGCCACAAAATTAAGGTCAAACAGTATTCCATAATCTTGCCGTATCTTTAGTATTTATGTACAGAGCCAAACCAGCCCAAGTGTACCACAAATGCTGTTTCCATATTTCCAGGGAGTGAGTGAGAAAGTCGGATTCTGCTGGCCATCCACCACCATCGTGTGGCAGGGCCGGATGAGAATCGTCTCATTTTATTTCTCACTCTCTGCAAAAATTTCATCTCACCAACCAACATCTCGTTTAATTATATATGTAATGCATTCATATGCAACATATATAAATAATTAGATGTTGGTCGCATATTTTGGATTTGTTCACCGGGATTTTGAACTAACTCGTGTGAGATGTTCTGATCTCTCACACGAGGTAGTTCATTTTTCAAACTTCTCCAGTTTTTTAGTTAAAAATTAAAAGTTAAAAATTAAAAATTATATTTATGATTAAATAATTCTTGGACTAATAGCATAGTCGAAACCCAAAGTTGCTCTTCAGATAATCGAAATTAGCTTATCTGAAAAATTGATAAGTGCATTGATAAGCCTCGTAGCGTTAGTTTTCGAATGGATATCGTCATTATAAATTCAGACAAGCTTAAGTTTTGAATTTGGAGCGATTTGGATAAAAAAATTGCTTATCGGAAAATTGATAAGTACATTGATAAGCCTCGTTGTGTTAATTTTTGAATGGATATTGTCATTATAAATTAAGATAATCTTAAATTTTAAGTTTCGAAATTTTTAGCTATTACAATTGTATATTAATATTAAATATTATTTATTAGTACCTACGACTTGGTTCACTAATCTCGCCTAACCTTCTGTATTAGTGGCCATAAGTCTGTTACGGCTCTTGCAATATAAGATGGCCCCCATAGCAACTTTAACCCCAAAAAAGTCAGTGTCCCCACACTTTTACTCCAGACAACAAAAGCTGAAAATGTAGATCTTTTCAAGGAGAAAAATCTGGCATCAGGTTGTCAGAAGTAAAAGTGTTGGGACATTGACTTTTTTGACGATTTATGTGTCGATAAAAAAAGCGCGAATTTTCGAATTTTGAAACTTTTGATGCGTCAAAATGTTCGTATTCATGGGAGAATCCAAACTGCAAATGCAAGTTGGGGTCTAATTCTTTTTGTAATAAATGTACATTAGATTTCTCATTTTCCCCGATTTTCTTCCCCAATTTTTGAATGGGGTGTGGTTGCATTTAATTCTAAAATTTTTGTGAGACATTGATCCCTCCACCCAAAAGTGAATTAAGAATTTTTTAAATGAAATTTGGTGATATGGATGCGAACAGGATTGGTTCACATCTTCTGGTTTGGCTCTACAATCAACCTCTAATTAATTATCACGAATGTTTAGAACCTTATTTATGCTTTACTCGGAAATGTCGCGATTTTTCCCCTTGCCAGCATTTTGGTATAGTACGAGTAATGTTGTTCATATTTATCCGCCTTAATAGGAAAGCTTGTCGAGGTTGGGTTGACGAATGTGGGAATTGTATCCTTGCCGAATGATGATACCTTGCCTAAGTATCAAAAATTATATGTATATTTATTTATGAAAAATTTCTTAAATTCAACAAAGATTTATGTAGAGATCTGATAGGAATAACTGATGCTGGCGGAAAACAGTTGATACAACTGCGCATGCGCGATTTTTAATGTTTTTCTGTCGAATGTGTAGATAAGGTTTGGTTTTGCTCAAAAATATTTTTTCGGATTTTAATTATGGTTAGAAACGAACTAAATCGAAGCGAGAGTAAATAACTAGCAAAATCGAGTTTAGCAGGATTATAAAAATGTGGCCAAACAAGATTCTAAATTGACCTGGTAGCACTTGAAGAAGGAAAATTTTGGTGAACCCCCTATCTGCAGATCCATAAATAGGATCAGGGCTTCTGGAAAAAAAAGTTTTGAACAAAGTCCGATCGTACTCCAAAAATAACGACTAAAACCGCAACAGATCTGATGAGGAATTTTTTTAAAAGTGTCCTTCGATAACCTGTGGTCCTGCTGCTGAGATACTTCAGATAAAAATCAGCTGATTTACACTATTAAAGTGCATGAGTTAGGTATTGGATCCAAGATAAAAAGATTGTCATCAAAATATTCAAACTGTCAAAATCCAACAATTACGAAATCACAAACACGAAAAATACCGTTTTGGTTCATTAAAAAATTCACCAAAACTCCAATTTTGCTACGATTTTCAAAATAATTATATATTCGTGATCCCAGATAGTTGCTTTATCATATTCAATGGCAATCTCAACTTTTGTGAAATTTTGATTTTTCCAAGTCATACATATGTACCCTCGCTCAGGGATTTGAAAATTAAAAAAATTGAAGTTTGACATTGGATATGATATATCATATATTGCAGTACTATAGTACTGCAACATATCCAAAGGGCATCCAGATCGGTGATTCTGTCGGTGACGGGTTGTCCTCCTAACTTCTTAATCAACAGCCTACATAAGTATATCAATGTGTATGAGTTTTGGTAAGATTAGTTAATCTGCGTATAACTTCTATGATACACTTTGGGTGAGGAACACGATGTGATCACCTACAATATTCCGCTACGTATATTTCAACCAACAAATTAAGATTAGCGACATGTTGTTTAATGTCGCTGGACCCCAGTATATATGTAATGAATTGTAGTTTTCGCTAACTCTAAAATTATTTCGTACGCGTATTAATTCCTTCAGTTAAATTGGGATAAAATTTATTTATTCAATTTTTTTAAAAATTATTTTATGTTCTAAATTAATCAAGTGTCTTTTCAACTATCTTAAGCTGGAAATGTCTGTCTGCAACGAAAGTGAAAGTTATTTTCCGTGACCGAAGTGAAAGTAAAGAAAGTAAAGTTTCAAATGGCGCGAAAATTCAAAATAAATTAAATTTAAAATATTAAAGACGAAGTCAACTCACACGGGACACTTTTAGCATGGGTGGAGAGTCCAGGGTACCCACTATGTTTTTTAGAATCTACTAGGACCCTAGATGAAGCATCCATTCATATTTCCGTGTAAAACTCATATTTGGCGCCGTGGCGTGGCGCCACATTCGCCAAATTGGAATGTTTTTAATTTTAAAACCGCCTTAAATTTTGAAATCCTGGAGGGATTTTCAAAATTTTTGACCAAAATCATGGCCATGAGTCGAATTTTCGAATTCTATGAAATTTTTGAAAAGATTAATTTTTCAATTTTTTCGAAAGTTTTGAGATTTTTTAGGCATTGGATTCGTCGACAAGATCGTCAAAATATCTCGAAAAATAAAATTTTTGTATGTTTCATTTTTTCTGAAAATTTTTACCTTTGTGATCATTTTAAGCATAAAATTTTGAAAATCCCACGGAAATTGCAAAAGTTATAGAGGTTTGAAATTGGTCGAAAACGCAGATTTTGAAGTTTGGCGCCACGCCATGGCGTCAAATATGAGTTTTACACGGAAATATGAATGGATCCTTCATCTAGGGTCCTAGTAGATTCTAAAAACATAGTGGGTACCCTGGACTCTCCACCCATGCTAATAGTATACCTGGTCAGACCAGTTACATGTTTTGTTTCTACCAAACAACCCCAGATAACCTTCCTAAGATAACCATCCCCCAGATAACCTCCCTAAGATAACCATCCCCCAGATAACCTCCCTAAGATAACCATCCCCCAGATAACCTCCCTAAGATAACCATCCCCCACATAACCTCCCTCCGATAACGCCCCAAGATAACCTCCCTCCGATAACCACCCCAAAATAACCATGCCCTTAAGTATTCTCCAATTCAATTTTTTGAATTTATTTTATTTTGAATTTTCGCGCCATTCGAAAATTGCTTCCTTTACTTTCACTTCCGTTTCAGAACATTTGCTTTCACTTCCGTTGCCAACATAGACAGCTGTGCTCATAAACAACATGGCCAACGGTGACTCTGATGATGGTCCACCAGTTGTTGTGCGTGCTGTGCTGTGCTGTGCATGCTCATAAGCAACTAGACCAATTGTAACTCCGATGATGGTCCACCAGTTGTTGTGCGTGCTGTGCTGTGCTGTGCTGTGCTGTGCGTGCTGATAAGCACACACGGCAAGTGGTGTACCATCATCAGAGTCACTTTCTGCCATGTTCCTTATAAGCTGGAAATGTCTCTTGGCGACGGAAGTGAAAGCAATTTTGGTGTGACGGAAGTGAAAGTTGGGAAAGTGATTTGATTATGAACTCCTTTGGAAAGTCGATAAGGCACTTCAGACATATCAATTGTAACTGGTTTTGGACCCTGAGCACGAATTTGACATTCAATTTGACCTACGAGGCCCCGGTGACCGTGTGGGGGAGGCTAAGGGTCACACGTGTCGAATACACGTCAGGCGTATCAATTCTGACTGATTTTGAACGCTGAACATGAATTTGATACTCAATTTGACCTTCGACACCCCCTGACCGTGTCGCCGTGGCGGAAGATCACACGTGTCGAATACACGTCAGGCGTATCAATTCTGACTGATTTTGAACGCTGAACATGAATTTGATACTCAATTTGACCTTCGACACCCCCTGACCGTGTCGCCGTGGCGGAAGATCACGCGTGTCGAATACACGTTAGGCGTATCAATTCTGACTGATTTTGAACGCTGAACATGAATTTGATACTCAATTTGACCTTTGACCTTCGACACCCCCTGACCGTGTGGGAGTGGCAGGAGGTCACACGTGTCGAATACACGTCAGGCGTATCAATTCTGACTGATTTTGAACGCTGAACAGGAATTTGATACTCAATTTGACCTTCGACGGACCCGTGACCGCGTGAGCGAGGCTAATTATGAAAAAATGTCTTAAAAGTCCCACAGGATTAGTTTTCATTATGTCTAACTGTTCTTAAATATTTTCCACTTTCACGTTCGTTACACATATCTTTGACTTACGTCTACAACAGAGAGTTTCAGCTAATGAGGCACAGAGGGTATCCGTCCATAAGGGTAGGTGTGGACGTGTCCACCGGCCGGACCTTGGGTCCGGCCGTACCACAGACCGGGGCCGTGAAATCTTGTATGGTCAAAATCAAATAGTTGAACGTGCGCAATATGAATATGAAAAGTACTTATAATTCATAGTTATAATTGCTGATTAAAATTGCAACTTGTGTTGAGCTTTCATTGAGTTTTATTTTGCCCCAACGAAACGCACTTGCGCGAAGTTCTTTGGTGATTTTGGTTATTTGTACCACAAGTTTCTGTTCCAAATATTGAAAAGAAGGCATTGTCGCTAATAATTTATCATTTTCTAATTTTAAGTGCTTGAACAAATTGTTAATTCTAATACCAAAATCGACCATTCGATCCATTGGTGGAGTGGAAAGACTTAAATGTAAGTAAATAAATATTTAGCTGGATTTCTTTTTACTTTAGGAGAAATATAATTCTACATTAATTAAACACGATTATTTTATCTGCGTACAAATCTGATGACGACTTAATAATTAATTAACAAATCAAACTATATTGCAGTTGGTATTTGTTTCTTAAATAATATATTAAGCATTTAGTTAGGTTTGAGTTATTAATTACACTTCATAGATTATTGTGGCAATTTTTAATATAGTTATCAAATTATTTAGATGGGCCGACCCCCCGAAAATCTGAAGCCTGTTGCCGGAAGGAAGGAACCTGGCGGCGCTGAGAAAGAGAGGAAGCGGAAAATGGAGGCCGAACAAAAGTTGAAGGATCAAAAAATTGCAAAAACGTTTTTTAAGCCTAATGAATCCAAATCTACAGAAATTGACTCCACGGAATCAGCTTCTCCATGTAGCGATATCCCTAGTATGTTTGACATACAAATCAATCAATAATCGGTTATCAAATTTATTATTTGACTTGTCGCAGGCAAAAATTTATCAGATACTCTGAAAATTCCTTCGAAAGATGCTGAGAAAACCGCTATTGCAAACTTCAACCCCAATATACATCCCACTCGGCTTGAATTCGACCAATCTGACCCAAGTTCCTGGCCTACTCCACTAACGGGGATGAGCAGAAATTTAATTCTCCTCGACGGTCCTAAGCAGCACATTCTAGAATCTTATCCAAAATTAAATGGCTATCGGTTCTCGCTTAAATACTTGCAAAAGCGAGATTGGTTACTATACAGTGTAACTACTAATAGTTTATTTTGTTATTGTTGTTGTCTATGGGATGGATCAGCAACGTCATTATCCTGGACGAATTTTGGGAACGGCCAATCTGGATTCAACGGATACAAGAATCAATCCATAAGAATTAAGTCCCACGAAGAAACTGCCAGTCACTTCCGTTCGATCCTGAAGTGGAGGGAATATACTACCCTTCAACAGAAGTCCAGATTATTAGACTCATTTTAAGCAAAAGTCATGGATGCGGAGATTTCATTCTGGATTGATGTGCTGACTTCAATTTTGGATGCAATATTATTTCTTGCGAAAAACAAGTTACCATTCATAGGATCTTCTAAAGATATAAATTCCCCAAACTGCGGAAATTTCTTGGCCCTGATTAAGTACACGGCTAAATATAATCCGACGTTGGCCCTTCATATTGCCAGGCTGGAAAAAGGATCACCAAGTTATTTATCGCCACGTATACAGAATGAATTTATTACTACAGCAGGGGAGTCAGTACGAAAATCTATTTATCAAGATGTGAAGAAAAGAAAATATTTTGCCATTATGTTCGACGCCACGCCAGACATTTCTAAGAAAGAACAAGTGTCACAGATAATTCGTACTGTTCACTCTGACGCAATTGATACATACATCGAAGAATCGTTTATCGATTTCGTTCACTGCGAAGGGAAAACCGGCCTGGAAATCTCAAACATGATTATTCAAAAGTTGAAGGAGGATGGTCTACAAATTGAAAACTGCCGCGCCCAGGTTTATGACAATGCGAGTAGTATGTCGGGAATTTATAAAGGGGTTCAGACAAGGATTAAGGAAGTAAACCCTTTGGCAGAATATGTTCCATGCGTCCCACACTCCCTAAACCTTGTAGGCCAGAATGCGATGCAGAAAACCCTGGTGGCAGTACTTTTACTCGGTCAGGTGCAAAATATTTATACCTTTTTTTCCGCTTCTACGAGTCGGTGGAATTTGCTAAAAACCTTCGTCAAGAGAACCCCCAAAAATCAGAACGCAACTCGTTGGTCGTCCAAATCTGATGCAGTGCATATTCTGTTGGAAGAATTTGGCGGAGTAATTAACTGTCTTCAATTTATGATGGATTCCGAAAATACTAACATGCAGACAATCGCCGACGCCCACATTCGCTTCAACGACATCTATAATCATCGTTTTATTCTCGGCCTTATTATTTGGGATAAAATTCTGTATAGAATTAATATTTGCAGTAAGGCTGTCCAATCAATTTCTTGCAATGTGGACTCCGCAACCAAGCATCTTCAATCGTTACTTGACTGGATAAAGCAATTTCAAATTGACGGATGGGAAAAAAGTGTAAAAAAAGCGAGCTCTAAATGTGAAGAAATGGGAATTGAACTGGAATCAGGGTTCAACTATAGAGCAACAAGAAACTCGGTCCCTGCCAGATTTCGAGATCCGGATGAAATTAATTCAGTCCCTCTCTCCAATGTTGAAAAGTTCAAGGTCGAGTTTTTCGACAAAATAATGTATTCCCTGGTAGAAGAATTTGAACAACGATTCAGTGCACTGAGGCAGGTTTGCTCGCATTTCCAATTTCTATGGGGGAAAACCTTAGACGAAGCGAAAGAAGAGGACCTTGCAGATTTGGTCAAGATTCTTGCAGCGAAGTACCCGCAGGATTAGGACGTGGATCGATTATTCCGCGAAGTAGGATTTCTGAAGTCAGCAATTTCAACGTTTCTACCGGAAGATAAAAACGTTAAAGATTGTACAGCACTCGAAGTTCTGAAGATTCTGTCAGAAAATAATTTGGCTTCCCAGTTTGAAAATTGTCACACAGCTTTGAGAATTTTCTTGACATTTCCTGTCAGTGTGGCCTCGAATGAGCGATCATTCTCAAAATTGAAGATAATTAAGAATTATCTTCGCTCGACCATGTCGCAAGAACGTCTCAGCAACTTGTCTATTCTATCGATTGAGAGCGAACGAGCAGATAAGTTATCATTCACAGAAATAATTACTGAGTTTGCGACAAACAAGTGTAGAAGAGTTCCTTTGCTAAAGTCAACCACGCAGGAGATGGATGAGGATAGTTAAGAGCCAACCACCATAACTGTTTTTTGTTATTTATTTCATGAAAATTAGCTAGTGATTCATTATAATACAAAGCTTTAATAATTTTGGGTGACTCAAATTAACCAAATAAATTTCTTCAATTAAAGGAATAACAAAGTTGTGCACAAATGTTTTAAATTGCATTACATGATTTAATTAAATGACCGTGGTGCAAATTTTGGCATCCATTTATATGTATGGATATGTAGTGTATATCTTATATATGTATAAATTAAGATACGTAACATACCGGCCGGACTTTTAGAAATTCCACAGGCCGTACCAATCCCAGGATACCCACTGATGAGGCAATGAAATATTTAAATAAGTCCTGCCTGGCGGGAGACAGGCTTATACGCTAGTTAGTAAATATATTTTACAAATTTGGGGATTAATTTTAGTCAGGTCAACTTTGTTAATATTTAATACGAGTTACACACATGTTGTTTGATATTTTTTCTTATTATGTTTTTGCAGAAACTCCTCGCAAAATTTTTTCATACACAATGCGTTTTAACGTTAGGAATTATTACTTAAATTTTAATGATATTATATATAGTTTAAAGTCATATTCTTATCCAATAGTTTTAAAATTAGTGTTATGACTCATGAGCTCAAATAAAATTTAGGAAACGGTTACTTCAAATCTTTTTTATTGCGTATTGGCGTCTTTAGAGCAGTATATTACGAAGAATATGTGATATCAATCAAGATTATTAAGCAGGTTATTTATAAATGGTCTACTGGAAATCAAATTGTGGAGAAAATAAATTGAAAATAATAATTACTTCTTAAGTCGTATGTACATACTTATACATAATACAAATGACCTAGGATGACACTTGAATATAATTGAATTGTTTGTGCTTTTACATATCTGTACTTTGTTTAGCTTTATTATACTTCGCATCGGTAAAGGTCTGCTAAGCATTCCAAGCATGGTTGAATTTTTAAAAGAAGACACCAATTTTCGAAAACTTGTCAACCATGATCCCTCCTCAGTGACCTCGGAGGGCGTTGGTGAGCGTAAAATTACGGTCAATTTCTCATCTTAAAGGTAAAGCTCAATTAATCTCGAATTTTATGTCACACCATCGCCTTCCGAGGTCACTGAGGAGGGATCATGGTTGACAAGTTTTCAAAACTTGGTGTCTTCTTTTAAAAATTCAACTATAATAGAACCTTTAATAGAATCTTTCAAGGTAGAATCTTTCAAGGTGGTTGCGCTTAAAGAAATCGTGAAGAAATATTCCAAGAAGTGGAAACTTCTGATTAAAATACTCAGCATATTTCCCCTTGCAAAATTTCCCATTCTCTCCAAAGTAACAATCCTCATTTACCTCTTCTTTCTGGCTACTAAAATGTGCCAGTTTATCTCTAATTAGTTCTATGAGCTTGATGCACGACTTGCTGTCATTGCTATAATTTTTTTTCCAACTGGCGGACAATAACGCTACAAAGTTGCTGGACATTTCTTGTTCAAAATCAAATTCAGATCCAGTCTCTTGGAGATGATATTTACTGTACGCTTTGTCCAGGTCTTCTAGTGTTTGCAATTCCTTTACCTTATTGTCTAAGATACCTGCTACATCTTGTACAAATTCCAGAAACTTAAAATTATCCCAATGAAAAGGATGTTTCAAAACAGTTTGAATTGTCGGACGTTCTGTTGGTTCCCTTTTTACCATTTCAAGTACGAGCTTAATCAGTGGGATATCATTATCACTCATTTTTTTCATCATTTTTTTCAAGTCTCCAGGATTTCCAGATAATACATTGTGTGCTCTAAACACAATATTACCAAATAATTTTTCTCCTTGGGAGATACCATAAAAGTAAGTCTGCCCTAAACAGAATATGTCAATGGCAGTTGTGTTTGGAAATTTTATTGGAAGTTTGTCGTCATTGACCTGATTATAATCTTGAAGTACCTCGGGCGCCATCCAATCATAGGTCCCCTTCCCCACTGAATCTGTCTGGTCAGAATTCAGCTCTATGATTCTGCTTATTCCAAAATCACCCAGTTTTGCAAGGTCATTATGGTCATTATTAGCAAATATCATTATGTTAGAGGGCTTGATATCCCTGTGAATAATATTCTTGCCATGCAAAAATTCCAGACCTTGGCTAGCATCATTCAAATATTTTATGCATGACTCTTTTGTCCAGGCAGAGACATTAGGTTTTCCAGTTACAACATCATCTAAAGTTCCCAATGCCAATTCCATTGCTATAAAGTATGCACAATTTTTAGTATCTTCATATCTAGCATAATAACCAACTATGTTAACTAAATCTGGAGTAGTTAATTTCCTCCAAACTTCAAGCTCATTTTCAAATATCTTATAATGATTCTTAGGAATACGCTTAACCGCAGCTTTTCTATCTTGAACCTCATGAAAGCCACCGTATACAATCGATGTTGCACCATTCCCAAGAACGTTATTAGGGTAGTAGACAATGCTATCGCCAGCACGGGAGTAGTCAGGCACAACGTTTATGGTCAAATTTACTTGACGCTTTTTTACTTTTCCTACAGAAAAATAATAATAATAGGAAATTTTATGTCCGACGGATTTGGTTTAGGAGAGAGGATGACGGATACGTTCCATCGCTTTTCGCATCGATTTCACTGAATCAAATAAAATTAATTGTAAATGCAATTGTGGGTACAAGGACAAATGTACCACAACATTTTTTGAATTCTGTGCAACCACACCCCCTATAAAAATAAAGGAAGAAAGTTCGGAAAAATGAGAAAGTCAATGTACATCGTGTAGAACAAGAGTTAGACCTATACTTGCATTTGCAATTTGACTTCCCCTTGGAATATGAACATTTTAATGCATCAAGAGTTTCAAAATTCGAAAATTGGCGGTTTTTTTACATACACAGAAATCCTTAAAAACCGAATGGTACCAGCCATTTACTTCGGACAACCCGATGCCAGATTTTTCTCCTTGGGAACAGCTACATTTTCAGCTTTTGTTGCCCGAAGGGAAACGCTGGTACCATGAGAAATTTGGGGTCAAAGTTTCTGAGGGAGGGACTTATACGGCAAGTGCCGTAACTAACGAGGGCTAGTGATATATCAACACATCATTTTTTTGTATTTTGATAAGCCTACATTTAAGTAACCCAGTATAGTTAATTAAATGAGACGCATGATTGAGTGAGGTTGACAAAGTGCGACGGATACGGCACTGACGCACGAATCCGCGCGATGGTGGTGGATACCCACCAGAACCCAAGTTTAACACTTTGTCTTGCGAAATATGGAAAATGCTTTTGTGGAACACTTCCTCTGGTTTAACTCTTAGATTTATAGTTATTTACGCGATTTTTTAGGCATGATTCGGGTTTATCCCCTCTTGTCTGAGGAACGAATTAAGAGTCTAAAATAAATAATTACATATGCAAATTTACAAAACTAATTAACTTATGAAAAAACTTACCAATTATTTAATGTCACCAGAAATTGTGATGGAAATTACGATGTTTTTTATAATTAGAAATGAAATTATTTGGTGTAATTTAGACATGAACTTATTTGGTGGAATATAACACTTGAACCGGATGGACGAGAAGACTGGGAATATAATGAGTGGATACTGGAGATTAATTTTCATGATTCAATCCATTATTGTACATATGCAGTGGATCCCTATCTAATCTAACTTCAGACCATAATTTTGTAGTAGGAATTAAAGTAGAAATTATATAATATGCATACAAATAAAAATATGTAATTGCCATCGGCTGGTGAATCGACGAATGTAGGATCTACTTGACAATACCAGACATGCACTAATCAGTCAGATAAGAAATTTATGACGATTAATTACAATGGGTTTTTGAGCCATCACTGTTCCAATGTTATCAGAGCGAAATAAATATGAGGCATTACCTAAAATGAGACATCATACTTTCCGTTATGAGTTGAACGTCAGGCACAGTTTGATATACGTGAATGAACCGAATTAACTTTAACAGGTACAAAGCACTACTAAGGGGCGAAATCTCTTTATAGATAAGATTGTTATGTCCGTCCGCCCGTTGGTCTGATAACGTGTGAGCGAAACAAAATTTTTTTAGACTCATAACGTCAAATGGCAAGGGTACTTCGAGGATATGAAATATGGGCTACACATGTCAAGGTCAAAAAAGGTTAAATTGCATATGCATGTAAACCTTAACGGGAATTTAACCCTACTAAAAATTAGTAATTCAATAGTCACCTCCATTTGGACCTGTACGGTAACGAAAGATCATGAAATGGTCACTAAATACATTACATTTCGTACACTCAAAACAAAATTGTACCCAAATCAATTCCGGGCGGTGTCAATATGTGACTTAACCGCATTGGAATTAAATTAACTCGCGCGCGGATATAATATTCATAATTCGTCACCTCAACGGAGTTGTTTGTTAAAATGAGGTAACCGTATCTTCACCACGCTGTTACGATAGTTCGCGCGGGATATAATTTCGGAGATAATATTATTTCCGTGGCCGTTATGTTCGTTATCACTGGAGGACGGTTATGATTTTTTGTGGATATTAACACCACTTTGCTAAGAGTGTATATATGTATGTATGTACCTGTCACAAAGTTCTAAGACGTGTATATTTTAACAGATTTTGACGGGCAAAAACAATGCGATATGCATTTTGACGTATGCCACACCTCCTTTCATCCCTTGATGACATGCGTTGTAACAGTTTATTACATTTTTAATCACAAGTATATACGTAGAATAGAATCATGCTCTTCAAGAAGAACACAACTGAATTGTAATATACATATTTATTTATTATAGAGTGCAGCCCTACTAAGCTAAGGCTTTGGCCGTCTGTCCGTCCTTCCTTTCGTCTGTCCGTTTGTAAGCAGGATAGCGGGAGAACGAATTGATATTATTGAGATATGTTTGCGGAATCATACGTTTGACCTCAGGAGGCGGATAGTATAAACTTTTGGGTCAATCAGACCAGTCCCCCCCCCGCATCCAAGAGGTGTGGTCGCATAATTTTTGGGGGGAATTACTTGATTTACCCTTGTTTCATTGCGTTTGCTAAAATTTATTAAAGCAGCAATCACATTTATGACACATACACATTTATGTAATTCCCACCATCTGGGGATTCGACGTAGGGTCAAAGGATTAGGAAATTACATATTTGCCAGAGTCAGAGCTTATGGAACCGTAATGTCGTTCTGTCCTCCGCCTGACACGATAGAGTCAAAAGGTTGAACCGAATGACATGAAATTTCGGCCATACCTATAAATATTTGGTAAACTTTAGAAACGATTTAGAACATATGTAAAATAGCAGTGGCTCGTAAAGGTGGGTGGGGTATTATATGCCAAACCCGTGGTAAAAATACTAAAATTTGGAACAGAAATTGCGGTTGAAAATCAGAGTTGTTGGCTCAACGTTTATCAGAAACCCATCTGATCGATCGATTTTTCGGATTTTCAGAAATATCCGATCCGACCCGTTTTTTAGATTTTCCAAAATGTCCGATCCAATCGGACGGCCACGGATTACAAAAACGGATATCCGACTCAAATCTGTTTAAGCTGTTTCTATCTTAACTTACATACATATGCGGCAGGCCAAGTAAGCATGTGACATTTACAAATCAATAGCAATTTTCAACCGTGTCAAACGAACATAAAAAAGTGGCGTCAGCCGCATCACACTTTCAAATTCTAAACCACACCCCCTGGCGCTGTGGAGGGTGTTCCGATCGACCAAATTTGCGAACTCGACCGAGAACTAAAATTTAGAAACACAACGGCGAAAACCGCTTTTGATTATGTAGAGGCGTTCTGACATATCCTGCTTACAGACGGACAGACGGACGGACAAAGCGATAGCATAAAGCGGCTGACGCCACTTGATAACTACTAATACTAGCTACTAATTTATTGTGTAATAATTGTATAATCTAACAATTTTTTTTCATCAACGAAATTTATATCTACGTTAGAAATCTTAACTTGACCGTGCTATTGTTCAATAGCACGGTCAAGTTAAGATTTCTACTTACTTAGAAGAAAATTATCGATACATGTAATGTGTATGTGAGCATGTCCAAACTTATTTTTGCTTGTTCGTATTGAGCGTTTCCTGCAAAACGAATTCGATTCGGTATCCGATGACAGTTGTTTATCCAACTCCAAAAATTGCATATTTCAACTCGACCAGACTCTATCCTATCCGATCGGGTTTTCCAACCATCCTATGTTGCCCCGAACGCGTTTATCGTGTATTACAACTTATCACAACGAAAAACCAGTAAAAAATATTCGCTTAAAAATTGTTTATCCAATACGTGTTAAAATTATTTGACGTTGTTCTGGAAAATCTGTTGTGTATTCAAGTACTACCATACATTCTACATATATGCGCCAAATTATTTACAAAGGGAGGTTAAACTACTTGTGCCTAGTAGTGGTAACTCTATGCATGCATGATACGAGCAGTTTTCATATGCATACCTGTGCAGCTTCACTCTTTTACCGCAAAGCGAGGCTTCCTTCACGATGAAGGAGTGAAGGAGAGTGAAGCTGAGTGAGGGATTTGAAAACTTTGATCGAGTGAGTGAAGGAGAGTGAAGCCGTCACGGTGAAGGAATGACAAAATGAAGGGAGTGAACTTCACTTCACTAATCTTTCCCTCCTTCACTGGTGAGTGGTGAGGAAACAATTTGGGAACAATGGAGATGGAACAATTTGGGAGATTTGCATGGGGCTCAATGAGATTTGTCAGAGAAAATGTGAAATTTTATGGGGTAACATGAGATTTGTATGGGACAATACTCGATTAGTAAGGGGCTATGTGAGATTCGCGTGCGGAAATAATTTACTGAAACAATATGATCCAGCAAATGCAAAAAAGCCATTATGGTAGCGCGAGTGAGGGAAAGAACGTGAGTGAGTGAGGGAAAAGAGTGAAGGATTTTTCGCTCAATATAGAAGTGAGTGACGCTTCACGAAGCCTCCCTTCATTTAATGAGGGAGAGTGAGGGATTGTTTCACTCGGGGTGAAAAGAGTGAAGCTGAGTGAAGCTAAACCCATTTGCACAGCTATGTTCATATGTTATGTATGTTGCTTATTCTACATACGTATTGTGAATTTGTGAATCAGTAAAATTCATAAGTACATGCATGATGAATTATTTCAACATCATGTGTTTGCTTTAATGATATGGGTTTCCTCATGCAGCCGCTGAAACGATTCTGATAAGCAGTTTTATAACTGATAACAGTTTATAACAGTTTTATACTGATAACATGTTTTTCAGGACAGAATCAACGTTTGATCAAGGCTGAAAATTGCAAATTATTCATCCGCTGGTGTCACCAAGTTATAAATTAGCAGACAGCATAACTGATAACCAGGTTTATCCACATTTCCTTACTTCTGCATTGTTAATTTTAACCTCAAAATTATTCCAGCTAAATTTGACTAAACTGTACTGAAATACACAAACTAATTGTACTTAATTCAATTGGATGACAATTAGAAAGAATGGGAATTCAAGGTGAGCTGTTCACAGTATATGAATCTATATCAAAATATATCTATATTTTGTCACTGTTTTATCCCACTTGGCAAAGATTCTGAGCGACCATCGGTGAAGGACGCCAATCCAGGAATAAAATTGGATAAAGTTGCCTGGACAAAATCTAATAAATATTCGAGACATTTTATCCGTAAGTAAATTAGTACTTTCTCCAATCTATTATGTAGTTGTTGTTTGTCGTATGCCCCAGATTCAATTAAAGTCTACTAATGCATTCATTCATTAGATGGTCAAAACAGAAGAAAACATGGCAACCGAGCTAATCAGGATAGACACGAATTTAAGGATATTGAAGATATGAGGCAAGTTGGGACATCTAAAATTTACTACAACCCAAAACAACTTGAGCTTGGTTGTTCAACAACCTTGGTATATAAAGGTTACTTTGCTTCACCTAAGACAAAGGCTGCCGTAAAAGTTATCCTATTACGTAATCATGAAGTAATTAAGGAGGATTTTGCGATTTGGCAAAAAATTAAAGGGGGCGTTAACATAATAAAGTACTATGGTTATTTCGACATAAAGAATAATGGAGCACCAATGCGTTACGTGGCGATGGAAGTGGCAACCTCAACGTTGAAGCGCCAGGTCAAAGAATTAAGATTATCTACTCATGACATCCAGGGTTACTTAAGGGATGCAGCAAAGGGGATCGAATGGCTGCACAGCAAAAATATCATTCACAGGAATATTAAACCAGACAATATTTTAATTATGCAAAACGGTAGGGCCAACCTAAGTGAGTTTGGTCTAGTTAAAGTTATAAATCCTGACGGGGATCAATTTGACTCACTGGGGAGGGGAGTTTTTGATTGGATGGCCCCTGAAGCTATTACGTCATGTGTGGATTCTGTTGAGCTAAATGCGACAAAATCATTAGATATATTTGCATTTGGTGTAACAATCGCTTATGCGGTGCTAGGGGGGAAACATTTATTTGGGCCCCCTCTATTTCGTGCTGTCAATATAATTCAGGGGAAGGTTATATATATGGATAAAGTCGCATCTGTCATAGATGAGAGACACGTCACAATTATAAAAGAAATGGTGAAAACGAATCCGTCAAGTAGACCAACGATAAGCAATATTATTAAAAATGCATTTACGGACTAAGAAAAAATTTGATAAAAATAGAATACAATAAAAATAAGAAATCAAAATAAATCGTCACGAACGTCGAAAATGAACTATAGGCTCATTCTGTAAGGGGATGTAAGGGGATGTAAAGATTAAATTTCAGTAATATCTCACTTTCCCCCCGACACGACGCCTGAGTGTGACCGTGACCTCGGTATTGTACCATATGTTGAGGCCAGACCTTAAAAATCTTGACTCGTTCAAAAGTTATCCTATAGTGTTAAAAACACCCAATGAGGTGTGGCAGCGTTGTCACATATTCTTTTGAGTTAAATATAAGTACTTGTTTAAATTAAATACTTACGTAAAATTAATTAGTTTAGTTAAAATTTTTCCTTCATCTGAATATGTAAACTTAAGTATAACCAAATTTAAATATTTGGTATCCTATTTTGCACGGTTTGGGAGGACATTTTTTAAACAACAATTTATTGATAGCTTTCGGATCTTCTTGATCCTTCTTCAGTCAATTGATTGTATAAAATTTTTTTTTTTTTTTTAAATAATTTAAATTTAAATAATTGTCACTTCGTATGTAAAATAAGCAGAATTTTATTAGCTCATTCCATTTGTTTCATAATAAATAAAGCATTAAAAAACATTGTAATAATAATTACGTCGCAATTAAATTGCTTCGCTATGTGTGTACACACGTACGTAACGTCATGTGTGCTTTATACATTTTTATTTTCAATAGATCTAATGTATCTATCATAAACCATGCATTTGATAAAAATAAATTATGGGCCGTAATCCTTTTAATCTGGACCGCATTCCCTCTAAGTTAGGATTTCATTACCTCAATTAAAATTTTAAGGCTCCAGTAATCTTGTAGGCCATACTAGATTACTTTTGCGGTGGGGGAAAAACTACTACAATGACAGTTTATTTTATTTTATTTTTATTTTCGGTCGTACATAAATGTAACATCAGCACAAAAATTATATTTGACCGTATGCACGTATGGGCGTACTCATAAACACCAGGTGGCTGGAAAGTTGTTTTAAAAAACTTAACAGTCTTGCAAGACTTTGACAAAAATTTTCCTCCGAAAATATGGGATTGTTGGTTTTTTAAATTCGTTTTTGTTATTAATTTTTATTCGCTACCCAGTACACAGCAAATGAAATTTTTTATGTCATAGGATAATTGCCAATTATCCTATGAAATAAAAAATGAAAAATATTAGTGTACCCAATTAATAATTGGGTACACTAATGGGGATATTAGTGGGGATATTAAGTAAAATATTGCCGTGAGTACGCCCAGTGATGATGGCTTCGCGTGAGTACAATCGATCCAGAGCGAAGTGAAGAGCGTACATAAGTATTTACATTATAAAGAATCTTGTAGAGTCGCGTCGATACACTCTAAACAAAATTTTAATGAATCATTACTGCGCGGAGTGCATATATGACTCTACCGCGATAGTAATGATTTGGTATTAAAACAATACTATATGGTAAAAAAAGTAACACAAGTTAGTGTTAAAATTATTACCAAAAAGTGTTATTTTATTACTAAATCTATACCAACCTGGTGTAAATTTTTAATTCCGTCACGGTAGAGTCATATATCTACTCCGCTTGTTTTTTTTTATTACCAAGTTGCTAAGAGTGTATGTACTCGAATATAGATACTCCGTTCATACTGATATTGTCCGCTTATCTAACAAATTTACAATTTGTGTATAAGTTACATAAGCATTGTTCCTCTCAAAGTTAATTACTTCAGTTAATCACAATAATGCCAGCATTTGAAGATACTTAACTTTACATTTAGAGAGACTTTACATAATTTTTAGTTGTTCTGGAAAATTCAGCAGGAACAATCCACGTATAATTTGTGTATATTATTAATGGACAATTAGTGATCCTTGAAGGAGTTTAATCTCGCACAAACATTTTGCAAAGATAAATTAGAGATTGATTTGTGTATTTATGTTGCTACATGCATATAATTAAAATCTTGCAGAAACGAGATGAACTTTGGAACACGTTTCTCAAGACTCTTTATGCTGCGCATGTTATGTATTGCAAAGCCGGAGAGATAAAGATTAATGGTAATTTGAATTAAATTTTCATGAATTCCTTTCGTAAATACATATGCAAATAAATAGAACTTAAATGTAACCTGCGTATTCACTTACTGTAGAATTTAGAAAAGTTCCAACTCTGATGAAGACGGAAAATCATTTTTTTTCTGCCCATCCTTTAAAAATTTGGCGTCCAATAGATACAGATTGACATGCCCGGTGTGTTTAGCATCGTCTTCTAAAGAGGTACACAAAATTGATGGAGCACCAGTCTCGGGAAATAAGACGCATATGCTTCAACCCGAACAAATTGTGGGATCCAACTACGTTACTCATAATAATTAACAAATATTTAAATAATTGATAACAAACAAATCATTTTTTAGCATGAACATGGAGATTGAACCCAACTTGAAAATAAAATTTGATTTGTACATGGAGTTCTGATCATTTTCAATAAGTAACATTATTAAAATTTAACCGTTACAGAATTGCAGTTAAATTTTTAAGATCAGGTGCCTGAAGCAATTGTTAATAAATAATTTGAAGTTGAAAAGTTGGGATGGACTGGATATTAAACGTACCATGTATATCACAATTTACACAAATACTTATCTTATCAGCTCTTATCTTATCATATACAATTTTAAGCTACCTGCTTGTTTGAGTATTATGTCGTTTAAGAGTCACATTTTCATGAGTTTGTAAGAGCAAGCAATGCAAAGTGACAACTACTTTATTTATTTCCTGTAAGTGGAGTGGGATGCATATTCTTCGCACATTTTATTTGCCCACTTTCGTAACTTGAATTCATGAACGTATTTATGCAAGGCTTGCATTATATTCGCAGAGGGGTTGTGCATATTCCACCAAAATTATTAACTATTTAGATCAAGTTGAAGACTAAATTACTGGGACCATAATTGAGTTTTTAACCGATTTAGATTAAGGGTATGCTAAACACTGATGTCAACTCCACCTTCCCCCCTACAAGGTCGATGTGAAGTTTCGAGATAGGCCCTACAATGTTGTATTCAAAGCGAGAGGAAAGGTTGAGACTGTTAAATTACTCCAAGCATCAACTTGGCATAATTGTTGCATAAATCAGATGGGACCGGATAATGAAAAAATGACAGTTGTGGACTCAAATTTACGGTAAAAACTGAAATATGGGCTGGTTTTAGATATACAGTGGGTTGCCATAAGTATTGGTGGTGTATTTTTCGCTCGGTACCGTTGAAGATATCTTCGCCAAGGGTTATCCCTAGAATAAATTCTGGCTTTGGTTTACAGCCACACTAATGTGCTAGAAAGTACATTAAACATAATTTGAAAATCTCACTCCTTTCGCGGGAAATTAAGAAAAAACCGCAAAAATTTCATAAAAAAGCGTGCCAAAAGTATTGGTGGTTTCTTATTTTTTATATCCAAAAGCCACAAACTTTTGAATTCGGAGCCACCAAGTTAATATAATATTCTTTATTGTTCACTTCAATTAAAATTCTTCTAAAATGGTCAAAGCAAGCAGGTTGTGCATGACTGACAAGACGGGTATCATCCACATGCATGAAAGTGCCAGTGGACCTCCGAAAATTAATCTCCGGACCTCAGTTAAACTTCGGACAGTTCGAAATGTGATTATTTGCCCGTAGGTCCAATAGCGGCTGCGTAAAAGTGGGATCTCTATAAAAGCCACTCCCCCTCCTACCACGCCCCACGAAATATTAAAAATTTGGCGATAATGATTCTCCTCCATATGTTAGGGTCCCTTAACACATACTTCAAGGATTTCAAGAAAATCGATTTTTGACACCAGGTCCATTACCATAACTCGTAGAGTAACCCTATTTCATTTTTTTGTGCTTTGTTGAATAATTATGTCTTCGGACTTGTTTATCTCCAAAAAATTGGCAATTAACTAATTAACATTCATTAATTAATTAACACTAGTTCACATTAATTAACATTAATTAATTAACACTAGTTCACATTAATTAACATTAATTAATTAACAATAATGTGCAATTAACACGACGTTGATTTGTTGCCTTATGTGAAACTAGCCCGGTTTGGAATTGTTCCTTTCTGCAATGCACAGATTTTAGAGATAGATATGTAAGAATTATTCGGTCATTTGGAAACGTTTCCCAGTTTGTTTCATTACGCTAATCTCAAGTTTTTCTTGCAAAATTAATATAATACGATACATTTTCTAGGTATTAAAACTTTAAAATAAAATAAAACTTACACAGTAAATGTGCTGTTTAAGCACTATAAAACTCATTTATGAGTTTTATTTTTTTCTTAGGCAAATACCAATCAACGAAAAAATTACTAAGTATGCATTTGACCCTCCCAAAAAAGTGACCATCGGCGATATCTCAGTCATTTCTCAACCGATTGGGCTGAAATTTTGCATCGATCATTGTTAGACAAGTTGAAGACGATGTGATAGTCGCCTTTTTAAATTTTTGTTTTTTACGAAAGTTATCGACAAAAATCAGTTAAAATTTTCCCCTGGAAACACATTTCTTTTTATAGTTTGTTATTGGGACACTGAAGCATACTAGCTTATTGACAACATTGTAGACAAAGTTAAGGATTTTTATGATACCTGGCAACAAAAATGGTACGCATTTTGTAGTGTACATCTCGTCATGCATCTCGTACATCTTGTCAGTCTCTCGTATCTCAAACATTTTAAAGTGATTTTCTCTTTAAATATAAAGATACTAATGGCCAAAATCGGTTATTGTCAAATTACTCAATTTAGAAATCTTGAAATTTTCCATGCTTTTCTATTTGTTTAAAGCTAATTATTTTCCACATTCACTTGAATCAGGTTAATTCTTTGTGTTTTTCATGCACTAGGATGTCTTCTACTGCAATTTGTGCAGAATCGTTCAATGGAATGACATTGGGGAGAGTTTGGAGCCTTTTGCTCGCGACCGACAAAATTAATATTTTTTGACTCGAGGAACTCGGTAACAGTTTTGGGTTCGTGACAAGTAGCCATGCCCGACCAAAAAAATAATTGTTCTAAAGAATGATGCTTATTGATCAAGGATTTGAAAAATACCTTGTTTAATTTTTCTATATAGGTTCTCCGGTTCAGGGATCCATTTATAATGAAGAATTCGGACACATTTTTTGATTAGTCCACCGCTGGTAAAACCAATTATTTTCTGAGAAACTTGTTGGTCGCATCCAATTTGTCTGCATATGGTAGTTCCTGATATCTGACTGCATAGTAAAATTGGCGATTTGGAAGTTCTGCTTAATCCATTGGAATGTATGTAGCGTCAATCATAATGACAACGTTTCGAGCAAATTTTTAAGAAAATAATTTTCTCCGCATTTATTTTCACTTCTATTAGATTGACTTAGAACCACAAATAAAGTACGAAAAAGTACATTTTGTACAAGAACCAAGCCTTATCAAACTTTATTTCCTCATACGAAAAAAAAATTTAAACTATCTTAAAAAATTTAAACTATTTTAATTTAAATTTAAATTAAAATTTAAACTATTAAATATAAACAATCTTTCGCCAGCATCAGTTATTCCTGTCACTTCTCTAATTTATTGAAAAAATCCTGATTGCGAATTTTAAAGATTTAACAAATTAATTATACTTAAACGAATGGATTAATACGCATGCATATTTTTTTGAGAGACAGTTTGCAAAAGAAAACTTGCACAAATAAAAATATATAATATATATATATATTAATATTAATATTATAATATATATATATATATATATATACCTAAATAATAAGGCAAAAATGATTCGAAACAAAATTTAACGATATCTTTATGCATAAATATGTAAATATTCGCAAAAATAAAAATTTCAACAAGATGCACACAAAAATATTAAGGCAAAAATAATTACAGAAATTAATTTACAGAAACTGTACGCATAAATACGTCCAGATTTGCAAAAATAAAAATTACAAAACGATGCACACAAAAACATTAAACCAAAAATGCTAGCAAAAATAAACCTATAATTTCACACATAAACATGTATTAATTTGGGAAGAAAAAGATTGCAAAAAGATGCACAGCGAGCAATAGTTATAAATTAAAAATACATAGTTTCTTATACAAATACAAATTTGCAAAGAAACAAGATACATACTCAAATATCTATTTAGGCAAAAATGATTATATTTGTAGAAATTAATTTATACTATACCTACGCGCATAAAAATATACACATTCGCCAAAACATAAATTAACCATGCCTTCATGCATAAATATATACATATCTATTTGTAAATAGATGCACATGAAAATGCTAAGACAAAACTGATTCCCAAAATACATTAACAACACGTTAACACATAAATACGAACAAAATTCGCAAGGAGAAGGGTGCAAAAAGATGCACGCGAAAATAATAATTCCAAAATTACTCCAAAACCGAATTTACAACATCTCAACACATAAATTCGTAAAAATTTGCAAGAAAAAAAGTGCAAAAACTGATTAGCAAAGCGCCGTTTCGATCGGCGGACCTCTGGGTTATGGGCCCAGCACGCAGCCTCGCAATGCAAGGCTTGCATTGAAATCTTTTTGACAATTTTGCAATTGCAAATTTTATCATAAAATAGAGATTGAAAAGAAATGAGATTCTATAAAATGAGCAATTTTATTAAGTACAAATTCCTCTACTTATGGAAACATTTTATTGGACCTAATAACCATTTATGAAATGAATATACATATGCAGAAAAAGACCCTGAAATCTTTAACAAATCACGAAATCTTCTCCAGAATTACAAATTTGAGGATATAATCAGTGGCGTGGCCAAGGGGACCCAGGGGGGCTGGCGCCCCCCTCCCCCCGTACCAGGGCTCGGAAAATACAAAAATAAAATACGAAATTAAAAATGACATTTAAATTTAATTAGGTCACAAATTAAAGGTATAAGGAAGTGTGAAGTTATACATTAATAATAAGCGATTATCTTAAAATTCTCAGATTATATGTAAGGTAGTATTTTATTTTCCCGTTTTTTGTTGGAAAATTTTTGTTTAACAATTGCCATGCAGTTTTTCTGCCAAATTCTAATTTCGATGTGATTCTTTTACAAGCTTGTAGTTTTCCATTTTAACAAATCAATATCTGAATATTATAATGGTCACGATCAGCTTATGTATTAAAACACATTGCTTACACTCTTAGCAAAACGGGGAGCCCACATGACGTAACCAAATTGTGATAATATTTTACCCCACATTCAAACGCCGAAATGGTTTGGATTATTTTTTAAGCACAAAATACTTAATTGTGTAACACTCACATTTTCTTTTTTTTTGTCAGGTCCCCGAGTTCAGAATTCGTGAAATCTACTCCAATCTTCTAACTTGGATAGACCTGTACATATATATCTAAGTATGTATAATACAGAACTTGATAATTTCTTTTAATTTATATCAGTCAAAAGAATTAAGTAATTAATGGTACAAATATATACAGCAATACTATCAGTATTTAGTCCTCTTTTCCTGACAATCAAACCAGTATTCCAGACTTCACCTGAGTAAATCTATCTTTTCTTGTCGCAAATTAACTGTTACTTTCATACGTATGTGCATATGAGTGAGTCACAATATTGGGATGCATTTCACTTGACTGCTTTTTTGCGAAAGTTCACAAATCATCGTGCACACTAAATGTTTAGAATGCAATAAACGTCACAGGAACGACGTATGTATGTACACACGTAGCATTATTGCACTCTTTACACAGTTCGTGATTCATTCCATTCATAATAAACATTACATAATTATTAACCTGCTATAGTAATGTGACTAACCCATCATCACCAAGCAAGCAACATTACTCATCCAGTGATCCTAACCTAAAACCAACGTCATCATCATCGTCTCACTCTCAGCTTCACTTTAAATCGTCTCACTTCACTCTCACTCCACTCACGGATACTGAAACGGATACTACACGGGATACGGATTTTTGCACTTTTTTTAGTACAAAAAATTTAATTTTATTCATCTGAAAATGGTAATACAACAAATAAAATTTGGCCATTTTGTAAAAAAAAATTGAGTTACTTTTTCCATTAAATGAGACAATTTGCTTGAGAAATATGTATATGTATATGCATATACATTTCCTCATGAACAATCGTATACTTGGACTTTGTATGTGGAGTAGAAGTATTTATCTCTTTAGGTTGTACAAAATTGTAAAAATTATATCGCTAAATTATTTGCACAATTTAGATATTTAGTGAAAAAAAATTACAAAAACATTTACGATTCCTAAAGTATGGAAAGATTTCTAAGTAAAATCGTACACGTGGACAATTTGTGCAGATTTAAAGTGTCTCTTCATTTTCGCGAAAATCATTTTTCTAATTTTTTTGCATAGATTAATTATTTAATTAAACCCTATAATTAAAAGAACATTGTATATTTTTCCAGGAACCATTCCTACCTCTCCTCCAATTTATTTGTACCGGACTTACAAATATTTTCCTATCCGTGCAATCTCTCTCAAACCGGGTAGACTCTGACTATTCGGATTCACCCGAAGTGAAAATTCCGATGGGCGAGGTTATGTCCGAAATGACAAGTTTATTCGAAGCGGTAGATCTGATGAAGCCAATTATTGAAGAATTAAAGCGACACGAAGGTCAATTACTGGACCAAGGCACCGTCAACAATATTACAGATCCCGTCATGTTGATCATTTACGGGGCGGACCCATTATTCAAAAAACTTGAAGGTCTTGAAAATGTGCTACAACCCGGGGACTCTGAAGGAAGACAAGTTATAAAAAATATTTCCGACGTTTTAACTCAAACGAGCGAGACGGTGACCAAAGTTCTAAAAATGTTGAATGAAATGGATGCGCTGATTAATTCGGCGTGAAATTAGCATAAGACAAAGGATAATAAGTAAATTATGTGTGTTACAAATTAAATTACGTTAAACTAATAAATATTTTTTTATAATGTACAAAAGTTTCTTTATTTTTCATGAAAATATCAATTCAAAAAATCAATTCAAAATTTGAAAATAGCAAAATCGTCAAATATCTCAGACAAATAAATTTCAATATAAGAGCTTCTGTATAATTTCGGCGTTTAGCTTTCTCGACTTTTTTGCAATTTTGCATATTATGCAGTTTTTTTTATTAAATTCCCAAATCTAATAATAACATTTTATGATAAATGCTAGAAAAGGTGAGGGGCTCTAAATTGTGATATTTTAGAAAACAAAAAATCATACATAATTTGCGAATATTTTGGAATAATTTGCGAATATTAAAAAATACAGATGTTAACTCACTCATCCTCAGTTTTAAAATAAATTAGTAAACATGTGCATAATTTTGCGACACCTTTTTCTCTCTAACGTTGACAAAGTGGTCGCCAACAAGTCGAGTCGCACGGAACGTTAATCCACAAACAAGTCTGTCTACCTGTGTACTCCTGATCGGAGACGCATGTCACGCAGTTGACGTGAGGACCACCGAGAGGGTCGATCACTGGGGAGTCGGGTGCCCAGTTGGTGTACCCTTGTAAAAGGGTGGAATTCTGGTACCAGCGAAAAGTGCCTTCTCGCTCGTTATCGTTCAGGCTTAGCCAGAAGGGGCGACCTGTGTAATAATTTACATGCACATTTAGATATTACTGTTCATCCAATATTGACAGATTTAAAAAATGTGAAAGGTTTCCTGGCAGAATATTACTTTCCTAAAAACCAGATAACCTCTCAGAAAATTTGGTAAGGAATTTAGACTGGCTGAAACGGAAGTCGTACTCACAATAACGTTAGAATGTACATATTTATATGTGGAAAGATATGTTTAGCTATGTATGGCACGTAAAGTTTGCAAATTGATCATAAATAGTAAAGAAATCTGCAAAATTTCGCACAACTGGAAACTCGTGCCATTTTTTCTCGTAAGTATGTATTCCCTAAATGGAAATGTTTTTACTTGGCACAATATTTTTCCAAAGGAGCTACTCTGTAAAATTACATATTGACATGAGTACGCCCATTATTAACCATGACAAGTATTTATGAAACGTAGAATTTTACATTTACAAGTTCTGAAAAAACTTGTCAAAAAACCTTCACCCGTGTAAAAAAATGTCCTCTAAATTAAATCATCTCACTGTTATACGTCGAGTTTCCAGATAACCGCTGCAGAAAATTGTACAGCATGAAATCCACGTCGGGTCCTTTAATTAAGGTTGGTTCCATCCCGTGACAGAGACAAAACTCAATCGCGTCGCTGTACGACATCCCCTATGCAAAAGTATGCCAAAATTATTCGCAAATTTGCCCGGTAACTAATTGAGATGACAATTCTCACCAGGTTTCCAAGATTCGTGTAGTGCATTTTGCCTCCAGCCCATCCAATGTAATTGATCTTCAGCAGGGTGACATCCACCGGCGTGCAAGGTGTTTGAGAATTTATTACTGAAAAAGATTAAAACCTAGTGTGAATTCCGGTGTGAAATGCACAATTTTTATTCCACTTACCACCAAAAAATCCTACAAATATTGGGATGCTGATCAGTAGTTTGTTCATGTTTGTATGCAAAGTATGGGGGTCCAATTTTATTTCCTGGGGTTTGTGTGATTTTGTAAGATTCTGTAGAAATAGATAATACACATCCTAGGAAAATTTATTGAGTGTATTTGTACCGCCAACAAAATTATTTTATCTATTGTAAAAATATAACAGAATTTTTGTCAAGGACTCACCAAATTTGAAGTCAGGGCTGTCTGAATTCCAGAAATAAAATGAAGCTATTGAACTCTTGGCCCTGATTTAATATATATTTATGTACATATTACTCAGAGACTACTCTGCCTTCTATGAGGATATATTTATTACCCACATCCTCGTTAAAAAAGGGTACCAAATTTTACTCGGTGTTTTCTCAAGTGAGTGAACCCCAAGCCTCTGCACTATGGGCCAGGATCACTAAATTCTGGCCAAAAATACAATTAAGCTTCAAATGAGGTCAAGTCTCATGTTACCCCCATAAATTACAAAGATCTCGGCGGGAGGATTCAGAATATATATACTTTGTGGGGTCTGGGACCACCTTCTGAGTATTTAGAAACCGAAGAATATTATGGAGTTTGCGTCGACCAACTGCTGTGTTAACTCTCAATCTCCTTGTGTGTTAACCTGTACATACCTGGAAAACTAAAACTCAAAAATGTTCATCGGTCTCTAAATACTCAGGAGGAGAACTTCACTTATGTCAGTCACCAATCGACTCCAAACTTTTACACAATTTAGAACTATGTAATACAAGAGTACATGTCGCGGCTTTTGACTCCATGGCCACAAACGTCGGAACTGTGGCGATTTGAAATCGTCATTTTGACCTATTTTACGCCATAACTAATAACATGTAAAATTTGAAAATTTTCTTGCAGGGTCAGTTCTTGATGGGATTTCAAAATTCCAACTGTTTTGCAAACTTTCAACTATTGTGCGAAATATATATTTTCAAAATTTTAAAATTCGACCCCACCCACTCGATATCAAGGTCTCAGTTTCTTTAAAGTGAGTATTATTTTTGTTTGAGATTTTTTAAATTCTCGGACTTATCGTAACACCGTAAGACCATATATTCATTGGTTAATTACTTGTCACACTCAGGTAAATCAGCGACAATGGTTGGCCACACCCCCAGCCGGATGGGTGTGACCATTGTGGGGGTTGCCTACATGAATTTACCTATTAATTTAAAAAAGTAAATGTCGTTTCGATGGTCTCTTCTCCAACATAAGCTACACATAATCTTATATGTGTCGCTCCGTGGAACAACATTAAATGTCAAAAGCCCATTGGCGACGGGGGGGTGTGGTTCTCAGCGCTTTTGTTTTAACAGGGTCGATGCCTGGCATGCGACATATCATTTATCTCAGCACGTCTAGGCGATCACTGTAATATATTTTATATTTTGAAACCACACCCCCTGTGGGTGTGATCATTGGCGCTTTCGCGAATCTGGCCACAATATGGCATGCGACATATCATTTTTCTCAACCAATCGAGGCAGAGAACTTCACTTACGTCAGTCAGCGATGCATCCAAATTTTTAAACAGCTGATTTACCTGAGTGTGACAAGTAATTAACCAATGAATATATGGTCTTACGGTGTTACGATAAGTCCGAGAATTTAAAAAATCTCAAACAAAAATAATACTCACTTTAAAGAAACTGAGACCTTGATATCGAGTGGGTGGGGTCGAATTTTAAAATTTTGAAAATATATATTTCGCACAATAGTTGAAAGTTTGCAAAACAGTTGGAATTTTGAAATCCCATCAAGAACTGACCCTGCAAGAAAATTTTCAAATTTTACATGTTATTAGTTATGGCGTAAAATAGGTCAAAATGACGATTTCAAATCGCCACAGTTCCGACGTTTGTGGCCATGGAGTCAAAAGCCGCGACATGTACTCATAACTCATGTACCCATGACATAAGTGAACTTCTCCTCAGCGGGTGGTCCCAGACCACAAAGTATATATATTCTGAATCCACCCGCCTAGACCTTTTCAACGATACCCCATATGTGGGGCTTCGTGAGACTTGACCTGCCGACCTTTGACGGGTTAAAACAAGGTCATGCAGGTCGAATTTTGGTTTGAAGGTAACTTGAACATTGTTCAGGACCATCAGGGCTACAGCATATCAAAAAATCAGCCAAATCGAACCGGCGAGCATTTTGCCATGCTTTGTGGAAACCTAGTGTTTGGGAAATCAAACCGTGATGAAGGCTTTGTGTTTGCATGGAATAACTTTTGTTTGACAATTTCATCAAATATCGGTTAAGAATGGGCACCACAGTTGCCCCGAATTCTGGTGGCACATTTTTGCACCCAATTTCACCACCACCACCACCAACCGCCAATCGCAAATCCAGCCATCCTTTCATCCATCAATCACACAGTCTTTTATACTTTTACTTATTTTCTAGGTACATAAAATTCACAATATGCTTTAATTGCAAACCAATACCAATCCAAAATCGGATTAGGTTCTGGCATACTATTTCATGATAAATTTTCCTTCATTTATTTACCCATAACTAATTTGCAATTATTTTTCTCCATCTGACTCTTTATATAAATATGTACATTTATTTGTTTTATTTTCCCTAACTTCACATATCCCACGGGTCTTATGAATTATTCCGTACAATTTCCTACCAAAAAATATTCCTCTCTAATTTTCCAAGTCTTGTCAAAGTCAATTTTCTAGTTTAAATAAGACGGCAAAAAAATCGATAATGATTACCTCTCCTAATCACAAGATTGTTGTTTACTTCTGAACAAATAAGTTATATAATCCCGGGTCTAAGGTCGAAAAATTGACACTATTAAAAAATATTGGGTTCTCAATAATTAAATACAGGTTACTTCAAATAGATCTTGAATTAGATACTTACGATAGTACAGACAACACTATGTTATATATATATATATATCGCTCCAACCGTCCGTAATATAATCCTACTTTAATACTTGACTTTTACGTTTATCAAGTTGTTCCATTATAACATTAAATAGTTGGAATACTTTCAAACTAATTAATTTCCATTAATTAGCGTGAATTTTTCCTATAATTTTCGAAATTTTTGTTCTCATTAATTATATCCTCGTTAATTTTTATCCTCAGGACCGGTGGGACAAGTCGTATACAAATTTTGAAATTCTCGTGCATTTGCTGTTGAAGAGTCGTTTTTAGACTAAAAAATTTCATCTTAATATATCAACTTTTAGCATTCGACTTTTAAAAATCGATATATATCGTATCTTATCGACGATTTTCGATACGATACGATATGGAGTCGATATCGTATCGATTCGATACGATACGAAACGAGACGCTTTATCGTATCGAAAAGTTTTCAAACCACCGATTCGATACGATACGATACGATACGATATGAAATGTTGGTATATCGTATCGTTCGGAACACTGCTGCTGACGGACGGACAGACATACGAACAAAACGATTGGAGCGATATATATATATATATAACATTGAGGCGGTTACGTACGGCGTAGTATATGTGTACGTGTACGTAGATTTTGCACAATGTGCATTTCAAGCCCGCCACCGTCAACCGTACACAATTTCTCAATTTCTGATGGATTCCCCACTTTTCCAAACGCTCCCGACACAATAAAATAACTCTTTCGTCATAAATATAACATGAAAGATAACAATGATCCAATACACAAACTGGTAACTTGTCTTCCTTATCTTGTGGCAAAACAATATTTGAGCACACAAACTTCCGATCCAGCCTCCGAGAAATTCTAGGAGATGCAAGTAAGATTCTGAAGTTCGCCATCGGCGCCCACGTGCTGCCAATTTATCTCTTCCCATTGCGAAAAAGCTCCAAAGCCCAAATACAAGGAGAGAAGCGCCATAATTGATGCGGTAGAATTGCTCGACCGGATGCATTGCTTGTTCGTTTTTAGCTGAAGAGACCAATTTCCTAGGCACAAATAAATTAATAAACCAATTAGAGGTTAGAAATTACGATCATATAATCTAAACCTTAATTGTTAGCCTAAGCTCGATCTAACATTTGAAATATTTACATGTATAAAAGAGAGATATTTAACATGTCATGAGACACTCTTAGGAAATTGGTGTTAAATCATTACTGGCCGGAGTACACATCCGACGCTACCGGAATCGTAATATTAGCAATATCGTTTGGTAGTGTTTTAATAATTAAAAAATTATCAATCAGAAACAAACATCTATTTACTCGTCCGGTAAGAAATTACTACCAGTATGGAGTACGTACTTACGTGACTCCACACTACCGGATTTTTACGTTTAGATACATATGTATGTACATTAATGTATATATGGTGTGCCCCTTTATTCGCCGGACTCTCGATTTAATGATTTATTAAGACTCATGATACACTAAATTAAGAAAGGTTGATTAGTAACTATAGTTAATACATTGAACAAGTAGGGTTAAAATCAATTTGCCCCATCCACCGCTTTGAAACCAATTTCTCACAGCTTTCTCCAAGCGCTGTCCATCACCTGTTTTCCCGACTTTGTGGTCACACTTTGTATGATTTGACCCCTAATCCGTCCGAATCCCTTAATGTTCTTGACTGGTTTTCGTCGTCGGGTATATACTTGTTTGGATAAAGCCTGATTTCGTCCAATTCCTCCATCTTGCGGAGCAGTTGAAGCATTTTCCTCCATAGGTCGAAAATCAACTTTTTCCGCCCCAATGTGTCTCACAACAATTCTCCACCAGAGGCAAGTTGCCATATCCGGCCGAAATGAAATGTCTTGCCCATTATGGCCATAAATGAAGGGAATCAGGCGCCGTTGAATGCACCGATCCAGATAACCCTCTGAAGTCATGGTTCCTTCCGATATACGGGGCTCAGAAATGTGTCCGTTTTCGACTATGACCAACCAAACGAAGCGTCTCGTGAAAAATCTTGCTTTTTTAATCATTCTTTCTTCATATTTTACTTAACTGCGAGTATCTGCATGGAAAATTGTAAAATTGGTACATCAAATGTATCGAGTGTGAAAAATCTCTCGTCGAAAATAACCAAAAATCTGGATCCAACTTTCTCATAAATTTTTCGTAGTCCTGATTTGTCACTAGAATTTTTACTTAGGTATTTTGCATCCCTCTGTTTTTTTTATCAGTAATTATTCTGCTTTAATTTCCTATACCGTGGTGGGACAGTTCGAGTTTTCAGGAAACGCTGCAGTGAGGAGTGGATGGCTTCCGTTTGCGCAGGCGTTCATGTTTTTGGGAGACGACTGTGACACCGGGCGTCGGGGAATTTTTTTGATAGGCGCAGTTTTTGTTACCTCATACCTTTTGCAATATACCGTAAATAGTTTAATTTGGGTGACCTTCACTTCCATAATTTTGCCAGACCATTTTCTTGTAAAAATCGGCCACATTTTCATAGTAGTGAAAAACGGAAGTAGCGAATGCCTCATATTCGGCTCGTGCTATTTTGTACTAATTGTTGGGTCATATTATTGATATGCAATTCTTGTTGGTACATTAGTTACTACTTACGACGACATAAAGAGATTTAAATTATTCATGCGTTTTCTTACAAAATTAATACAATTTAAATCAGTCCGGCGAATAAGGGGGCACACCATATGTATGAAGGAGTTAATAAAATGCTCACCAGATTGCAATATGTATTTTCCGATTTCGGTTCACTCTACAAATTTCCACATCAGCATGCGCAACCTATAATAAATAATTGAAGCTGAAATTATGTGGTCCCATATCTTCGCCCATAATATGCTATTGTTTACAGATTTATTTAGATTAAAAATGATGTCAGATAAAAATTAATAAATTAAAATAGTGTTTTTATTTTTGACTTTGAAATTTTTGTTGTCATGGTCAATTAAAATATAAGTTTACCATGGACTTCCCATCTAACTAATTATGAATATCAAGTAAACAAAACTGTAATCAATATATATTGAGAGTATTCATTATTTCTTCGTAAACTACATACGAAGGATTCGAAGCAATAATTAGTACCCAACATATTTATTAATTGCTGATAGTAAATTATATTAAAAAAATAAATATAAAACCACTTACTGATATATTCCGTATACATTAAATTGCGTGCTTATGGATCTTTATGACCGAAATCAATATTGAATCAAAATCACGTTGTCCAGGGCTGAAAACCAGTACTTGTACTGACGCTCGTTCGACACTGTTAATAAACTTCAATCAATCAATCAAAAAAGTATATAACCCAGTGAATTAACCAAACTAATGTATGTATCCTAAAGCTTTGGTTAAATATATACATACATTTAATACAATACGCGTAATAATTATTATTCTCCAGCTGGAATATGTATGATTCTTACTTAGCAGCAAGGATACAGATATTTGGGATGTGGAAAAGGATGCAATGCTGATTACAGTTGAATAAAATGGTGATAAGGGGATGGGGAGAGTTGTAAGGTATATGGTTAATGCATGCATAGGTAAATATGCATACATACATGCATCAGTTAAAGCAATAATTGTTAATTATCCGAGGGCGGCCCGAAGGGCCGGCCGACAGATAATTGTAATTATCTGAAGTCACACGGAATCTTGAGGTATTAGTCGTTAGTTATCAGTCAATGGTAGTTGTCTCCTGATATGCCCCAGTCTTCCATCCATTCAAAGCATAAAAACGAGAAAAAAAATGTAGCATGCATGCCTGGGCCCGCTACTTCCGTCACAATCCAAAGCCAACATTTTCGAATGAATGTGCAATTGTTGGGGAGGTGGGAGGGCGACTAATACCTCAAGATTCCGTGTGACTTCAGATAATTACAATTATCTGTCGGCCGGCCCTTCGGGCCGCCCTCGGATAATTAACAACTATCTTTCAGTACACTCCATCTATCAGTATTAGTCGTTAGTTATCAGTCAATGGTAGTCATACAAAGCTTCATGAGAAAATGTAAAGTTGAAATATTTATTACAACCAATAGTTGAAAAAATTACATGTTCATAACTGCATTAGCAAACTCATGTCTATTTACAATAGGTCTACAATAATGTTTTGCAAATACTTTAGAATTATTACACCATCCAGCAGCTTTAAAAATCGAATCAATACAAGCACCTCGTTCATTTGCCTTAGATGTTGAGGAATGTCGAAAACTATGAGCTGAGTAAATATTTACATCAATCCCTGACTTAAGTAAAACGGTTTTTAACCAACGGCTTAATGTGTCACGAGTCGCAGCTCGATGAGGTGGCCTTGTGGACACAAAAAGTTTATCATCTTGTCTTAATTCTTTAGTAATAGTCAAATAATGGGTTAAAGTATTAACAACACACAAATTATTATCTGTAAATTTGGGTAAGGACAACACAGTTGCATCACCCGGCTTCGTGGATTTTAATTTAGTTAAGATTACAATTTCGCAGGAACCATCGCCAAGAAGTTTTATATTAGATACATTAATAGCAGACAAGGTTTGTACTCTCTGACCTGTTGTTAGGGTAGGTAGAGCAATTAATTTTAAAGACATATCAAATAAATTTAGTGTAGTATTTAAACCTAGCTCTCTGCAAAAATTTAAAACCAAGTCAGAATCCCAAGTTTGTTGATATTTAGGTTTAGGAGGACGTGAATTTGAAACTCCTTTTAAAAGCCGACAAACTAATGGATGAGAACCCAAACTTTGACCATCAACTTTACCGATAATCGTAGATAGGGACGAGCGCATAGAATTAATCGTTGTATAGCCTAAACCACTGTCAAACAGAGATGCTAAAAATGATAAAACAGAATTAATTGTAGGATTCCAAACAGAAGACTTATTCTCTACACAAAAAACTTCCCATTTTTTAAAATTTGACTGATATTGCTTCCACGTTGAATCTTGGCATGACGATTTTAGCAAATTAGTTACATTCTCGGGAAATTTGTCTGATTGCCAGACAAAACAGCTACCAGAAGATTCATTTTCCTACACATAGGATGAAAAGAATTAGTATATGGAGATATTAATTCATATCTACTTGCTTTTAATACAAGGACGTTCGAAATTAGCAGCCTTGAAAATTGAGGATACCATGATTGAGAGGACCAATCAGGGACGACAACAATGCCAATGGCATTATCATCTTTTATTTTACGCAACAGTTTTGATATCTGAGAAAACGGAGGAAATGCATAGAAAAATTCTGACCAATTAATAGTGAATGAATCCACCACCTCGGAATTCGGGTCAGGAAACCAAGATGCAAATCTTTGACATTTGGTAGAGGCACTTGTTGCAAATAAGTCTATCACCGGATTTCCAAAAGTCTGACAAATCAAGTTAAATGACCGAGAATCGAGTGCGAAATCACTTTCATCAATTGCTTGTCTGGATTCTTTGTCAGCAATAAAATTATCCTTAGATTTAATATATGAAGCAAAAATCCAGATATTTCTCTCTTCGCACCATTGCCAAAGTGCTTTTGCCCATTTTAAATTAATTGCGGAACGACAACCTCCAAATTTGTTAATATATGCGATAGTGGTTGTGTTGTCGCTACGAATCAATACATTACAGCCAGTCAGATTATTGCACAAGGATTTTAATCCATTCAAAACCGCAATTAATTCGAGCGTATTAATATGTTGGAACTGCTCCTCTCGAGACCAAAAACCTCTTGTAACTTCGAGATCTGTATGAGCTCCCCAGCCAGTGGTTGAAGAATCAGTGGTCAAAGTTACTAAATACTTTTGAGATCTTATAAGATTATAGCTATGTGGTAAAATAGCCAACCACCAATTCAATTGAACTTTGCACTCTTCTGTTAATTCGCATTTTGCCAAATAATTACCATTGGACTTGACTAAAACTTTTTTTGAATGAGTATTCTCGGAAGACATGGTTGAGTAAAGAAAATTTGTTTATTTTCCGAGCTTTCGACACTGTACTTGTATCATCATCAGGGATAACATTGACTAAAACTGCATTGCGTAACATTTCCAAATCCCTAGTATGAATTGCAGAATAATTTACGGCCGGAGAGGCTGCAACTAAATGACCAGTCAACTTGGACAAATCTTGAATGTCCATTCTTGGAGCATTAAACGACTTATGTATTAGTGAAGAAATTTTTGAAATTTTACGATCTGGTAACGAAATTTGCATTAATTTTGAATCATAAACAAACCCTAAATATTCCACGACACGATCAGGGTTTAATTTAGATTTCTTGACATTGATTGAAAAACCTAGCCATTTAAGCAGAAGTTTCGTCGATCTAATATTTCTCAGACATTCCAATTTAGATTTCCCAAGTAATAACAAATCATCCAAGTATTGATTGGAAATATTGCCTTGATTTCTTAGTAAACCCATGATCGGCCTGAAAATCTTAGTAAATAATCTTGGAGCACAAGAAATTCCAAAAGGAAGACATGTAAATTGGAAAATTTGATTATTAAATTCAAATCTTAAATATTTTTGATGATCCGGATGCACCGGAATCGCATGGTACGCATCTACTAAATCTATTGTCGCCATATAAAAATCCTTCTCAATCAGAGATATACCATATTTATAACTTTCAATTTTAAAATGCGGCGAAATAACGAATTCGTTTAAGTGTTTTAAATTGATTACAAGTCGATAAGAACCAGGTTCTCTTTTAGGTACTAAAAATATTCTGGAAATAAACTGACCATCACATGGTTCAGCCTTGATAATGGCACCTGTTTCAATTAATTTTTGAATAGCTTTTTCCGCATGAGGAAGCTCATTTTTTGAAAATTTAAATGGTGTAGGAGGCTTATCTTGTACTGGTAAACTCAAAAATGGAATCTTATAATTTTCAACTGCTGCTAAAATCTCTTTGTCTTTTGTAATTTTACGCCAATTGGCAACATGTAAACTAAGTGACCTAGCCCTACTTACTACTGGTGGTGCCTGAAGGGTCTCAGTAGAGGTCGAAACGTTGATCCCCTTTGGTTGAAATTGTAGCGGTATTGGGGGCGAAGGCCTCCTCTGCCGAAGGAGGCCCGATTGAAGTTTAAAGACGAGCCTCTATTGGAATGAAAATAATTTCCTCTGCTCCTGTTTGCAAAAGTCGAACCAGTTGATGTCCGTGTAAAACTTGAAGATCTCATTACCGCTGCTGCAGACTTTGTTGCCTTAATGGTTTCGCAAATATTGTCTCCAAAAAGTAGCTCTGGCGTGGAAGGCGTGTTGCACACTGCCGCAATGTCATTATTTAAGCATGGTTTGATTTCTTGTTTCCGTTTGATATTTAACTCTTGAAATAATCTTGAATTTAGGGTAGCAGCCTGAATAGCGAGCCTCAAAATATCTTGACTAAGATTCGAAGGCATTTGTTTTGAATTCTGCATAATTTTCTCAGAAAGTTTAGCCAATGCCACCGATGAAGATGACAGAGTGCTTTGCATTTGTTGATTTTGAAAATCAGATTGCTTAATCTTAGGCGATAACACACCCCAAATTTCCGGATTCACTCTCGGCACGTCCAGTTGTTTGCAATTTTGAGGGGTTAGAAATAGTTTCTTAATTTCATCAAACTTTTCCTTAGGTAAGGCCGTTTTTGATAAGTTTGTAAAAGATTCGGCAACAGCTCCATTCAAATCAGGACCAAATTCTGGTTCAACCTGGTTCACATTTAGTATTTCAAGAAGGTCCTGAGATGCACCATCTTCAGGCTGATTTGTTATGTCTACAAAAATGTTTTTGTCTTACTAAACTCGTTTTAAAATAGCAATTAAATAAAAATATACCTCCGTCTATATTCAGTAGGTTCTGCATTACGTCCCCGACCACGTCGTCGCACTTTGACTTCCCATCCTTAACCGGATTAATTAGCAAATCTCGTATTTCTTTGATTGCTTTAGAGTGATCAGCAAGCGTCCTTGAAATTTTATTCTTTTTCTTTGGGGGCTGTCCACCGGCATCACCCACTTCTTTGCTGATAAAAATAATGTAATAGAAAATTTTTAATCTCAAAGAATTTTGTAGAAAGTAGGAGTGGCCACGCCATCTCCAAAAAACATGTGTGCGACCACGTCGTCACACTGGCCAAAAGAAATATACTTAAGTACTGGAGCGATTACATCATCTCCAAAAAATATGTGCGCGACCACGTCGTCACACTGGCCAAAACTCAGTTTTGGCCAGTGTGTTACTTTGATTTTTCAATTTCCTCTGATATTTAACTAAAAAAGGCCCAAGCAAAATACATAAATAGCAGGCTTACCTATTCCTCTTTGGGGGGGACGACATCCTGAAGCAGAAATTTGCACAAAAAATTTATTTTCCAACAAACGTCAGGAGCTACGTTTCAGTGATGTTGACCGGGGCTGCATCAAAAAGACTGTGACGGAAGTAGCGGGCCCAGGCATGCATGCTACATTTTTTTTCTCTTTTTTATGCTTTGAATGGATGGAAGACTGGGGCATATCAGGAGACAACTACCATTGACTGATAACTAACGACTAATACTGATAGATGGAGTGTACTGAAAGATAACTTAGGATTAGCTATGTAAGCTGACTGTCGGATTCGAGTAAATATTTATGCAAACTATGCACGTATTTACATATAATTGTGTAAAATATAATAGAGATCAATTCACCATTTTTAAAATTGCTTGTTAATTAAATGAGTGTCTTTATGTAAATAGGTATATGTTTTATTTCCAGATTGTTCCATTTTTTGTCTCTACATGTATTCCACTCTTCAATTTTTTGTCTTAACAAATTCACTTTAATATAATTGTTACTCATTTATGCACATAAAAGGTTGGCTTAATTATGTATATTTGCATAGTGCAAGCTCTAAACCTACTACGATTGAAAGTAAAATCTGTACATATCTGTAAATATTCTTACAATTCGAATATTTTATAAATATGCCAGAGTACATGGTAAGAAGGGTATTTAGTTCGGGATAAATCTTATAAAAATAATTTTGACTACATTGACCCCAGTTGTCCAACTAATTATAACGATATTTTGGAGCTACATATTCAACCCATATTACTGTAGCATGGATGACGATGCTCCCTCCATTTCTTTACGATCACTGGAAACCACCTCGGTCCCGATGATGGCCTCCATTTGCTTCACGTCCACATTATGTCCCCTGGTGGTCAGCTTGACCTAAAGAAAAATAAGCACTCACCATGACCTTCACTAATGTCATTTGAATTTACAATGGAGGTCTCCCAGCGTATGCTCTCCGACTCTGACCAAATTAGTGTTAATCAATTACAAATTTAATTCGTACGTAGGACATTTGCAAAATATTTGCAAAATACACTAAATATTAAACAATGGACAAGTTTCGCAGATATACTTGCATTCAAAGAAGAGGAATCTCTGAGTAAATTTTGAAAGCATAATTTATCAAATTTCTCCTCATCGTAAAAAATATCTGCGTCAAACGTGCCCATTTGGAGATCGTGTCTTTTGCGAATTTCATATCAATTAATCACTAAATTGCGTAAACTCGGAGAAAATATGCTGGGAGACTTCCATTCACAAACCTCGACCAAGTAGCGAATTCTTAAATGGGGTTCGTCATCCGAGGCAAACGTGGGAATTGGATCTTTGCCCTGCGACAACTTTCCACTTCTCGTGAAGGATTCTCTTTTCAGAAATCTTCGAAAAACGAGGCAATCCATGACTTCGGATTCGGACGAAATTTGTACTTCACTCTCTTGTTCGACGCATCTTTGTACTTTTTGCGAGTGTGAGATTGTTCTCGTGAGGGATATTTTGACTCGTTTTACGGCACTGCTTTCTCCTTGGGACGTTATGATGAAAGGGATACTTTGTCCGAGGAGGAACTCCTGCTTGGAAATTTCCAAAACGACGGTAACCCCATCGAGAGATAGCTCCTTTGTTAGTGGGGAGATTGCATTAGGATTTGTCCTCAGGGGTAATCGGCCCCCGTAGAGAATTATCTGCAATTTGAATTTTACAGGGTTAGAATGGGCGTACTCACGAATCGCGAGTTACGATAAATTTCGTAACATGTAACCTTCGCAAATTGAGAAGTACAAAGTTTGTTAAGAAGTGCCGCAATCATGCGCCGCACCGTGGGTTCCGTGGAGCCGGACAAGTGGTCAGTCTCCGTCCATGAATCTACCGACGTCCAACTTCTCCACTGTCGATACCCTCCCAACATTAAGGGTGAACTTCCCCCTTTCCCGGAGGGACGACCGTGATGGAAATATACTCCGGCAGACATTGCAAAGTAGTGGCAATCTGTTACCGGTCGGTGACCAAAATCATTACCAAAATTAAGTGCTTAAAGAGAGCAGGGACTGCAAAATAACGGATTGTACATACCTACAGTTTTAACAAATTTTAGTCCCACCAATTAGTGTCTTGTCGTCTTAAATATTTGACACCCACTGGTAATAAATCCTTGTCAATCGTGAAATCTAAATCCGTGATAAACCGATTAAAAATAATTGCCAATTGTACCAATTGAATTTTTAAGGCGAAATTTCCATCAGCTTGTGTAGGTAACTCGACCACTATGAACTACTGCCCACAAATTACACTTTTCTAACCAACAACGCAATAACTTTGGGTTGGGTCAAATCAATAGTTTACTAAATTGTGGTCGGGATAGGTATCAACAAATAAATAAATGCTACCGAGAAACTACGACGAATGTGCTTATGTATTTAGTGGAGTGGAGAAAGCCAAGAGGGAGGACGTGCATAAAGGATATGACATTTAAAGATTAAGACATTATATTTCTTACATGCTAATTATGACACGGGGTCACGTGTTTAGAGGTCACGATGCTATATGCGAAAATTGGCCACATTCTTTATGTATTATCCTTAGGTATGAGAAGTTGAGGAACTTTCCCGATACAATTTTCCCTTAAATCGATATTTACATACAAAAAAGTGTGTATAAGTTATTTGCCAATTCTCTTATTCTCTTTCACATAATTCCTTATTATGTTCTACCAACTCTGAAGAGTGTCTTTTGTTTCCTTATCCGATGAACACGAGGGGAGGTTTAATCGTGATGAATAAATATTTAGTTAACGACATTCGTCATTCGGCTGGGTTGAACTTTGCAATTTCTTCCGCAAATATTTGCACTTGTGGATTAATAGGATTAATGCTTAAAGTATGTATGAATGTGGTCGATTTGACGAGGGCCTGTCCTCCTGTCCTCGTCGTGCCAATTGCAAAATGATTGAGGGATCAATTCCGATGTCAAAATTCCGCAAGAATCGCAAATGGCTTGTTAAATAAGCCTTATTTTATATACATACATGTATACATACATGTATGTATACTAATGGTATAAACCTTGGTTGTTAGTATTTGTAGTGAAATCTATATTTTATTTTTTAATTCACGACTTAAACCTTGCATTAATCGTGTCCATTTATGCATGCATACACACGATTAATTAACGATTAATAGTGCACTGTTAGAAATCTTATAAGGTCAAGTAGGTGTTGGCTTCCCGCTATTTAATTTGCTACCGCTTGGTATTATAATTTTACCGGATCATACACATTAGCGAAAAATGTATACTAAACTAAAACAAATTAATAAACAGTAATGCAATTTATACTCATTCGCATCTTCCAAACAGTTTATTACTATGTAGTAAATGTTTAGTCCAAAATATAAATAGACACCGATAAATTAATTTTAAAGGCGGTATCTAAATTGCACAGTATTTATATGTATTTAACTGCCTTTATGAAAGCAGATTAATTTCAATTAGGAACAATTAATTCAATGCTAAAGGATTTGGAAAAAAATATTCAAAGGATTTGGTTCTTAGTAGTATTAAGATAAAATGTATATACATTACAACTTAATTTAGATACTTACGATAAATTAGTATACAGATGAATTTGTGCACAGATAAAATCCGCCATATCTTCCAAGCGGTTTATTAATAAATTCGCCAAAAATGTTTACATACATAGATAAAATTAATTTAAAGGTCAACTGAATCGGCGAAAGCAAATAATTTAAATAAGGATACTTTGTAAAATCTCATCTTATCTTGTAATGATTGAGCTATATCGAGAAAATTAATCACCGATAAGAAACGTTTAACATGGAATGTTAGACAGTCTAACTTAGACTGGAGAAAATTAATCACGGATAAGAAACGTTTATCACGATCTGCAAGAGGATAACTCCACCCGCTAGCGATACAATCCCATAATTCTGCCCGCATATACCAAACATGAACGATAACAATGGTCCGATACACTAATTTGTAGCTTGGCTTCTGTATCTTGTGGCGAAACAATTGTTGACCAAAAAAACTTCCAATCCAGCCTCCGGAAAGTTCTAATAGATGCAATTTTAATTCTGAAGTTCGCCGGTCGCCTCCACGTGCTGCAAATTTATCCATTCCCATTGCGATAAAACTCACAGATCCAAGTCCCAGAAGGATTTTGCCATAATTGGCTCGATAGAATTGCTTGATCGGATTCATTTTTTTGGGGAAAGGGACCAATTTTCTATAGACAAATTACATAAGTAATAATTATAGTTCTGTTTTGCATATTCATTCATCTAAAAAAAGGTTGTAAAATGTTAAACCTGATAACGTATTGATCGATTTCGGTGAATTAGGTTTCTACGTCAGCTCAGCACCTATAATAAAGGTTGAATTATGGTCGATCCAGAAAGTACTGAGCTATGGAATTCTCAGGAGGCTAATTGGCCGACCTCGCCATAAGCTATAACATGTAGAGTTTGAAAATTCACCGTACGGTCAGTTCCAGATAGATTTTCAAAATTCAGCCCGTCTTGGAAACATTGAACCCTTGCGCGAAATATATAATTTCAGATTTTTGAAACTCAGCCCCACCCCGTCGTTATCGAGGTCACAAGGTCAGAAAACGAGTAAAATTTCTACATAGAATTTGAAATTTCTACGACGGTATTTGAAGGTCGTCGACGTAAATTTTTGGCGGCAATGACTGAAATAGTCAGGGCGTCGTATTGGCGACTAGTTGGTTACACCCCCTGATGTTAAATCATTGTGGGGGTGGTCAAAAATCAAGTCACAATAATTATGGAGACAAAAAAATCCCTCCACACTTGGTTTCTAATGTCACTACCGCACACAATCGTACTCAGGCCCCTCTTCTGAGTGATTTGATATTGTAAGTGACCCCATGGCGACGGTGGGTATGGCCATCAGCGCTTCTTCCAAGACCCTGCCCAAGCACGGCATGCGACATATCATTTTTCTCAGCTCGCCAAGGGGATTGCAGTGTCAAAATTCAAATTTTAAAAAACCACACCCCCTGTGGGTGTGGTCATCGACCTCCGATGAATTTTGCTAAACCATGGCATACGACCTATCATTTTTCTCAACTCGTCAAGGCGAATGCGGAGGCATAATTCAAAGTTTAAAAACCACACCCACTATGGGTGTGGTTGTCGACTTCAGCTGAATCTAGCTACATTGCGGCATGCGACATATCATTTTTCTCATCTCGTCAAGGGGATCGCAGTGACATAATTAGAATTTTTAAAAACCACACCCCCGGTGGGTGTGGTCAGCGATTCCTGTAGAATCTTGCCAACACATGGCATGCAGTGCAGCTTTTCTGTGAATTTTTTTTTGCACTGGCCAAAAAATTTTTATTGCATATTTGCATCGATCATGATGTGTAGATTCCAAAAAACATGTTTTCAAAATTTCGAAATTTTGGGAAAAAATTTCTAAGTTTTTAACATTGGCTCCCCCTATACCAAAAAACGACTAAGTTTTTTTGTGTAACATGTTGGGACAATGTGATAAAACAACGGGGCAACGTGAGATCAACCTGGGGGAATGTGAGAAACTCTAGGGGAATGTGAGATACGGCTGGGGGAATGTGAGAAACACCGGGGCAACGTGAGATTACACCGGGGGAATGTCAGATATGACTGAGGGATTGTGAGAAACACTGGGGGAATGTGAGATAAGACTGGGGGAATGTGAGAAACACTGGGGGAATGTGAGAAACACTGGCGGAAGGTGCGATACGACTGGGGGATTGTGAGAAACTCTGGGGGAATGTGAGAAACTCTGGAGAATGTGAGAAACACTGGGGGAAGGTGAGATAAGACTGGGAGAATGTGAGAAACACTGGGGGAAGGTGAGATAAGACTGGGAGAATGTGAGAAACACTGGGGGAAGGTGAGATACGACTGGGGGATTGTGAGAAACTCTGGGGGAATGTGAGAAACTCTGGGGGAATGTGAGAAACTCTGCGGGAATGTGAGATACGACTGGGGGAATGTGAGAAACACTGGGGGAAGGTGAGATACGACTGGGGGATTGTGAGAAACTCTGAGGGAATGTGAGAAACTCTGGGGGAATGTGAGATACGACTGGGGGAATGTGAGAAACACTGGGGGAAGGTGAGATACGACTGGGAGAATGTGAGAAACACTTGGGGAATGTGAGATACGACTGGGGGAATGTGAGAAACACTGGGGGAATGTGAGATACGACTGGGAGAATGTGAGAAACACTGGGGGAAGGTGAGATACGACTGGGGGGATTGTGAGAAACTCTGGGGGAATGTGAGAAACTCTGGGGGAATGTGAGAAACACTGGGGGTGTGATCCCTCAATCCCTCAGTCATATCTGACATTCCCCCGGTGTAATCTCACGTTGCCCCGGTGTTTCTCACATTCCCCCAGCCGTATCTCACATTCCCCTAGAGTATCTCACATTCCCCCAGTGTTTCTCACATTCTCCCAGTGGTATCTCACCTTCCCCCAGTGTTTCTCACATTCCCCCAGTCGTATCTCACCTTCCCCCAGTGTTTCTCACAATCCCTGTCATATCTGACATTCCCCCAGAGTTTCTCACATTCCCTGTCATATCTGACATTCCCCCAGAGTTTCTCACATTCCCCCAGACGTATCTCACATTCCCCCAGTGTTTCTCACATTCCCCCAGACGTATCTCACATTCCCCCAGTGTTTCTCACATTCCCCCAGTGTTTCTCACATTCCCCCAGTCGTATCTCACATTCCCCCAGTGTTTCTCACAATCCCTCAGTCAGATCTGAGATTCCCCCGGTGTAATCTCACGTTGCCCCGGTGTTTCTCACATTCCCCCAGAGTTTCTCACATTCCGCCAGTGTTTCTCACATTCCCCCAGTGTTTCTCACATTCCCCCAGTGTTTCTCACATTCCCCCAGTGTTTCTCACATTCCCCCAGTGTTTCTCACATTCCCCCAGAGTTTCTCACATTCCCCCAGTCGTGTCTCACATTCCCCCAGAGTTTCCCACATTCCCCCAGAGTTTCTCACATTCCCCCAGTCGTATCTCACATTCCCCCAGAGTTTCCCACATTCCCCCAGAGTTTCTCACAATCCCCCAGTCGTATCTCACATTTTCGCAGAGTTTCTCACATTCCCCCAGTGTTTCTCACATTCCCCCAGTCGTATCTCACATTTTCGCAGAGTTTCTCACATTCCCCCAGAGTTTCTCACATTCCCCCAGAGTTTCTCACATTCCCCCAGAGTTTCTC